GCTAGGAAGGTTATTGTATTAGGCAAAATATTTGTTTTGAAATGAAACTCTGGTGGACTATAGCAATCATAGCCATCGCTCAGTGTGCCATCTTGGTTAGTGATAGTGAGCTGGCTTGTTTGGAGAAAATGGGAGGACATGTTATTAGGCAGGGATATTTGTGAGCCAAAATCCCACACTCTAATTCAGGCATATAGGAGACTGGCCACAAATCTCTCACTTTATTTGTCTGTAGAATGGGCTTGGCCATAAGAAATGTCCCTGGAAATCTTTAGCTAAATAATGGAAAACACATGGTTTAAAAAACGTCAGGATAGGATAGAGTCACTTATAGAAAGAACTTATATCATTTATATCACACCTATGTTACATGTTTTTCACATTATAGTGAGAAATTTACTATGTGTGTGAGTGCTATAACTTGACTCTCACCACAAACATATCTCTAGTTTCATGAGTCATTTTATAATCTTGGTTAATAGGAGCTCGTTATGGAAAAATGGCAAGAATTTCCATCAGGTCAACAAGAATTTGAGTTAAAGAACATCATACACTGTTAGAGGTGATAAGGACCTTTGTGATAGTTGCCTTAACTCCCTCATTTTATGAATGAGTAGATTGGCCAGAGCTGAGGATAAGCTAGAGCAACCAATTCAGTGCTTAACCTAGTATACATTGTTTCCACCAGTGTTATAGAAATAAAGAAGGCAGAGGAAGAAAAACACGTCCTTACTTTCTGTGTCGTCATATGAAAAGGAAATTGGTAGAGGTTAGGAAATCTTTTTCAAATAATACCTTTAAGCTGATAGCTCCTATGAGGTTTTTATTTATATTTCCAGGAACTAGCCCAACACACAAAGGTGTTCAGTAAACGGGTGTTTATCTTAATGGGAACTAACCTCTGGTGATTCACACAGTTACTGTGTTCCAGTTTGTACCCATCATTGGGCTTGATTGACTCCTGTGCTCACTACTGCAAGGTCTCATTCGTGGGATAACAGCTTTGGGGTGGTTAGGATATAAAAGTTGGAGGTGACATTCAAGGGCAGCATACAGAAATTGAACTTGAAGCAAAGAGGTCCAAGTTCTCCACCCAGCTCTATTCTAAAGGGCCAGTTTGGGAATAAGAAAACTAAGGTTCCAGATCAGTACCTTTCATAAGTGGTTTATTCTTGAAAAAATTACAAAATTTGTGCCAACTATTTTAATCTATGAAGTTAGAGAATTGGAATAGATCAATGATACTCAATCAGTAACAGTAGCATACCATTCTAGAGGGAGGTTATATATCAGAATTTCCAAGATGTGGTAGGGAAAAAAACATGTAGATAGGAAAAAAATTCTGAATTCTAGTGATCAGAAGAACTGATCCTTCTGATGGGAGGTAGGGTGTCCTGGCAGAGTTTCCAGGTAGAGAAATGGGATGTCACACATGTTTATTAAAGGGGGCTCAATTAGAAAAACATTGGGAAGCTTTGATTAGAAGACCACCATTCCTTCCAGTCCTAAAGTTCAGAAAGTCAGAGAATGGCAAGGGACAAGGTCATTTGAGGAAATAATGTTAGAACAGAGAAAGTTCTAAGGAAAGAATGAACTGGCCCCCAGCTAAGACCGGCCTGAGATGGCATCACAATTGGACACTGGCAAGCAGAGACAATGCCTTTAAAGAAAGAACACTGACACTGGATGCTCCCATCCACTTAGGTTAAAAAAAAAAATCAAGATTCCCAACCCCAGCTACCTTCTTTGACAGGTCTACTCTCGTCCAACAGTGAATTTCCAGGGCTAAAAGTCACAGGTTCCAACATTTATAGCCCAAAGGAGCTCATTCTTGGGAAAATGGTCCAAGAATGTGTTGATCTCCAATGTAAAGCCAAATTAAATTGCTATTGGCTTCAATGTTGACTAGCAAAAAAAAAAATCATTGTGGTTATTAAATCTATTATTTCAATTAATTACATTAGCACACCAACAGTCCCCACACAGTGGCCCCTATCCAGCAGGAAGTTTCCCTTTGATGCTTTTTCTCAGCGCCCTTGGCTGTCCCCCCTCACGCCCACCCTGGCTCTCCCTTTCTCTGTCACCAGCTAATCTAAAATAATTTTATTTATATATTGATTTATTTGTATATTCATCTATTCTATAATAAAATCTAAATTCTGAGTAAATCTCTGAAACACATTGGAACTTTGGCTTGAAAAAAGAAAAATACTTGAAGCAGTTGGCCAGCCATAAAAATACAGGAAAATACATGGAGATATTCTTCTCTGATCAGAGGGTGTTTTTGAAGCAATTTTCTCTTGTACCTATAGATGCCCTAAAAGAAAGAAGGGGAAGACAAAATCTGATAGATTAATAAAATATTTATAATGGAAAGGGAGAGAACAGAGTGTAGAGGGGAACATTGGGCTTGAAGTGAGAAGTCTTAGATTCTAAGGTGATACTTATAAAACGTCCTAGCACTGGCTGTAGCCTTCAGGCTCTCTAGCTGATAATTAGATTATTTCCTATAACTTTCTGAAGTTTTGCAATATTTTTTAGAAATTAAAGAAAATAAATGTACATGCATTTCAGAAAAGTTGTAAAACACAGAAAAACACAAAGAGAAAACAAAAATAACTCTAATGCAATCATTTGGAGAACACATATATAAATTGGGGGAACAGCCTTCTACCTTCTACGCTTTTGCTTTGTGTGTATGTGAGAATATGAGGGTGTGTGTGCGTGCATGTGTGTGTGTGTGTGTGTGTGTGTGTGTGCAAGAGAGAGATACTTCGAAAAAATTTTGTAGTATAACTTGTTCAACTAAACATACATCATGGGAAGTTTTTATATCTTTGTACAATATTAGAAAACTTGGTTTAAATGTATTTTTAAATGTGAGTTTCTGAGTTTATTGTAATATATTCAAGTATGCTCGTTTCTCATTTTCCACAATAATTAATGACATTCCAATAACACTCTTTTTTTTTTTTTTTGAGACAGAGTCTCACTCTTTTGCCTGGGCTAGAGTGAGTGCCATGGCGTCAGCCTAGCTCACAGCAACCTCAAACTCCTGGGCTCAAGCGATCCTCCTGCCTCAGCCTCCCGAGTAGCTGGGACTACAGGCATGCACCACTATGCCAGGCTAGTTTTTTCTATATTTTTTTTTAGTTGTTCGATTAACTTCTTTCTATTTTTAGTAGAGACGGGGTCTCGCTCTTGCTCAGGCTGGTTTCGAACTCCTGAGCTCAAACAATCCGCCTGCCTCGGCCTCCCAGAGAGCTAGGATTACAGGCGTGAGCCACCGCGCCCGGCCCAATAACACTCTTTGCATTGAAATTGCTGTGGATAGTCCAACAGGGTGGAGAGAGAAGTAGGGAGAAGGTGGGGGTCTGGGTGTAAATATCTATGTATATACTCTACCATTTTTCTCACAGTTGGATCTTTACAAGTATTGGAATGCCACCTAGCTTGCTGCAGAGAAAAAGTGTGTCAATTACTGCAGGAACAGTTAGTTATAGGAACGATTTGGCTAGATTTAGGTAATAGAACTAGGAAAGTTTTCTCTGAATAGAGCCATCTTCTTGGGCTGGACTGGGCTGGAGAGACCAGACTTTTCTGGAGAGAAAAGGACATTGTGGAAAAGGAGAAAAAAAAATTGAGAAGCCTCCTGTAGTGAGAGCCCTGGACCACTGGAGATCCTTAAAATGAAACCTTGGTAAAGGAATTAGAAAAGAATGTGAAAAAATTAGCAGCAATCCAGGAAGGTTGAGTATCTGAGAAGACTCAGGGGTCCTCAACCCATGGTGAGTTGTATAATTATTTCATTATATATCACACTGTAGTAATAATAAAGTGCACAATGAGTGTAATGGGCTGGAATCATCCCGAAACCATACCCCTTCTCCCCCGTGGAAAAACTGTCTTCCATGAAAACGGTTTCTGGTGCCAAAAAGGTTGGGGACAGCTGTTCTAAATGACCCTTTCTCTGGCTCCATCTCCCATCACTCCTTGCCTTGAACTTATGGTCTGGTTTAAAAGACCTGCTTATAATGACCTCCCCCCCCCCCCCCCCCCCCCGCCATGCCTTTCTCGCGTTACCTGGTTAGCATCTTTTCCTTCTGTTTTTCCTGAATCAATCCCACATATCTTGAAGAACCAACTCCAGCTTCGTTTTTTGAGAAAGCCCTGCCTCTGCCAGGCGGGAAGGGATGTGCTAGGGCAGCGTTCTGTCTGGTCAGGACACCGGTCCCTCCTGGGAAACCCTCGCAGCTGGGGTGGCGACCCTCGCGGCGACGGCAGCGCAGAGGCACTGGAGAGGTGCCTGGAGGAGCCTGGCAGGATCGGGGTCGCCTCCGCGCTCGGCCTGGAGCAGGCCCTGTCCCCCGTGACTGACTGTGACCGGGGAGGGAGCGGCCGACACAGCCACTTGGCGCCCGAGCCTGGCCCTGGACCGGGCGCTGCGGAGCCTGCAGAGCTGACGCGCGGACGGGAGGGCTCTGGCCAATCGGGCCTCCGTAGTCCCCAACAGTCCCCAACAGTCCCCACACAGTGGCCCCTATCCAGCAGGAAGTTTCCCTTTGATGCTTTTTCTCAGCGCCCTTGGCTGTCCCCCCTCACGCCCACCCTGGCTCTCCCTTTCTCTGTCACCAGCTCCGTTGGGACGTCTCAAGCGCCGCGCCGACCGCTGTGTGCTCAGTCTCCAGATGACGTGGACATGAAGGAGAGATCTCTCCGTTTCTTCTCTCTGGAATCTCACTGTGCACAACTAGCCCTAAATCGCAATCTTCTTGGCGAGCCCGGTCTCCCCAACCGCCGCTGGCCCTTCAGCCCCCCAACCCCTCTCCCCGCCCGCCAGGCTGCCCAGCTGGGCGGTGACCAGCACATGCTGCGCGCCTGACTCGCGCCCCCGCCTCCAGCCCTGCCCGCAGGCTGTCCGACCCCAATCGGGATGACGCGCCTTTATGGGGGTGGGGATTTTATGTCGCTCTAAGAGTCAGGCTCCTCTCCCGGAGGCTATGTGCTCCCCTCTGGGGATCCTTCCCATAGGATCCTGGGCGGAGGCCGCAAAGAAGAAGCCTGTGCTGTTTGCTGGCAGCGCCATCGTGGTCCGACACTCGAGGGCCACCAGGATCCCTCCTCTCCCACACGGCAAGGTCACTCTCTTGCCTTCGCCACCTGTCCAGGCTGTCAGGGCTACAAGGCTGATACCACGCAGTCACCTCCCGATGCCTTGCCAGAAGGAGGAGGTGAAGGCTCAGGTGATGGCAGAGGAGAAGGAGGAGGAGAAAAAGGAGGAGGATGATCTTCTGGAGACCCACTGGCAGGAAGACAGCAGAAGGGGCCCTTCCGGCAATGGGAAAGCACCATCACCATCAAGGCCCCTGGAGGCCCAGAGAGACCTCACTTCCTGGGAGTACAGTCCTGGGCCTTCCCTGGAGGGACATATCCACCCCACCACTCTGAAAACACCTGGAGTGAGGAGGCCCAGGTGACGCTGATGACCTCCTGCTCTGAAGGCCACACAGTCATCTGCTCACACTGCCCTGCTGGAGGTGTCCTTTCTCCTGAGACTCCTGACCCAGACCCAACAGTGCTTCCCCACCCAGTCCCAGGCAGCTCCTGGCTGCTGGAGGAGTTGGCCACTGAGTTGCTGAAGGGAGACCATTGGCCCAGCTCTCCAGGCCTGCTCCAGGTGCCAGTGTTCCGGAAGGAGGTGTACGTAGGGTGAAGAGTCTGCACATGTGACACCCGGGAGCTCTTTTCCACCCAGAGCCACCAGGAATAGGCCCTGAAAAAGAAAAATGTTCATGCCACTGCTGCTGCCTCTGCCACTGCTGTGAGACAGAGGTGAGCTGCCCGCATCTCTGAAGCTTCCTGGTGTAGCTGCTGAGGAAAATCAAGGCCCCTTCAAGGAGTGTGTTGAGTGTCGAAGAAAGGCCAAGATCTTGCAGGAGAAAACAGAGGCTTTGCAAGATAAGACAGAGGCCACGGGAGTTGCAGCACCACCCAGTGTGCCCCTTCTGTCTCCCCACCTGCTGCTGAGATGGCAGACTCCCAGCCCCTGGCCACATCCTACATTTTCCAGGGCCCAGTTCCTCCTCCCACCACTGACTTGGCCAACCTGGCTGCTGGACCTCTGATCCTGCCTGTCTCTCTACTTGCCTCCACACCGAAAATCAATGAAACAACATTCATACCCCCTAGCTCTCCTTTTGCTGTTACTGCTGACCTTCTCCCTCCATTTAGGGCCAGTGCCACTGAGGGCGTTCCACCTAAGGAGAGCGGGGCCCCTACTCAGGCCCAGTTGCGGTGCCTCCCATTTCTGGCCTGTCCACACCTCTCAGCCCCCTACCCTTCTCCTTGACATTGCCCTTGTACAGAACTGAGATCCCAACACCCATGTGTGTGGATTCCCTTCCTCCCCTTTCCTTCCAGAACCCTCCTCCTCCTTCCCTCCCCATCCCTCCTCCTCACTCTTGCAACCCTCCTCCTCCTCCCTACCCTAACCCTTCTCTTCCTTTTCCCAACCCTCCTCCTCCCTTCCCTAATCCTCCTCTTCCTTCCTTCCCCATCCTTGCCTTTCCCTCCCATCCTTCCTCCTTGTTCCCTACCTCTCCTACTCTTTCCTTCCCCACTTGTCCTCCAGTCCCTTCTACTCTGCTTTTATCACAGGCACATTTACCCCTTCTGCAGCAGCCACGTCTACCGTCACAGCAGCACATCTGCCCACTTGACCTGGCAGCCTATTTTAGACCCTGAGGTCATTGAAATGGACATGACTCCCCTTTCTATGGCCGTTATTTTCAGCTCTCCCCCAACCTCTAGTGTGAGCTCTCCTCCATTTCCCACATCCTTTGTAGTGTGGAACAGAGGCACCCTGCAAAGACGAGAGTCCCCGTCAGTCCTTTTCCACTTAGAGTCCACTGCCCCATTCATTGGCCCACATTCGGGAGCCCTGATGGGCAGCCACAGAAAGTCTCTTTTCCCAGGGCCCCTGACTGTACGAGCCTTCCCATCATGGCTCCTCCAGTTGCCTGTGCTCTGATGTGCAGGTCCTCTGCAATACCATCATCCATTCCTACCTTTGACCCCAGTGCTATGGACACCATCCCTCCTTCCAAGGCTGTCATCTTCCGGTTTCTTCCTGTCTCCCAGAAGAACTCCTTCCCTTTTTATTAGTACACGGGGCTTGCTAGGAACACACCACCCAGTGGCAGCCTTGCCTCAGTGCAAGCCTCCAACAGCATGGGCATGCCTGGATGGTCAGTCGGGATCCACATCATCTCGTTTTTATCCAGGAGCCACCCCTCAGCCAACGTCTAGGCTCCCTGATGGACAGTGACAGTCTCACAAAATTTTCATGTGGAGAATGAAGCAACTCAAGAGCAAGCTATAGGCCCAGCCTCTCCTATAGCCCAGCCACCGAGAGCCACCTAATGCCATCAGCTTTGCTGACTGGCCTAGCAACACCCAGCCAACAACCCAGGTGCTCTCCCCCTTCACATAGCCAAGACATCTGGCTTGGAGCTGCCACCAGGATGCCCAGCACTGGGGAAAGTACTTCACTGTTGGCCAGCATCGCTCCAGGCCAACTGGTGTCTATGAGTCTTGCAGCCCCTATGAGTGGTGGGAGCTTTGGGCTGGATGTGTCTTCCCCAGGCCCCCTGCTAGGTACAGGTTCCCCCTTCCCTTAACCCATTTGCCTCAACAGATCCTTACCTTTCCCATACAATGTCTATAAAACCCTTCTTCTGTGAAAAAAATAAAAAAGAAAGAAAGAAAGACAGAAAAAGAAAGCCCTGCCTGACTTCCTAGATTAAGATAAGATCCTTGTCCTCTAGTCTCCCATAACACTCTGTCTGCTTCTGTTAATTTACCTGCCACATGATAATGACATTTGGTCCTTAACATTTCTTTTTCTTCAAATTGAACTTCTTGAAGGAGGGATTTAGCCTAATTCATTTTTATAATCCAGTGTCTACAATAATATTTAAAATATTATAGAGACTCATTTGTTGAGTAAAAGGGATGCTTCCACAATAAAGCTGGGCTCAAGAGGAATAAATAAGAAAATAACTATGTGATAACTCAGTCAACTCCAGTTATTCAACTAAATCAAGTAGCCGAACAGTAGGTGAGGGACAACGACCTGAGGGATCTCTTTGCCTGTTTTTTATGGCCCATAGAATCAGTTTGCTTGTTCAGTTAAATCAACACTGCATTAATTGGATGTCAAGAATAATGTGGAGCTGATAAGCTGGCCCAGGACTTTGCAGAGTGCAATTCAGTGCCCAAATGAGACTTCAAGTAATGGCTGAAGCACAGGTCCCGTATGGAAAGATCACATTTTCAAAAAGAACAATTTCTGAATCCCCTGAGACAGAATTCAAGATGTTCTATTCCATTTATTTCTGTGCCAATGACTCTTTTGAACTTTCAGTGTGTCCCTCAAATGCTTTCTCATCTGAAAAATGAGTCTATATTTATCATAAAGAATGAAGGAAATAAAGAGAGATTAGTAGGTATCTGGAGAGATAAGATTAATGAAAAGGTTACCACTGGTATTTTTCCTGAATGAAAAATTTGGCAGAATTTAAGGGACAATGCTCAGAGTCTTGTGAAAATTGCTATGAGAATTTTTGCACAGTAAGTATTAGTTCAATAACAATAAAATGGGTACTTCCTAAAGATCATATCCTCTTATTTCATGTAAATTAATTGTTTTACAAAGATGAGGAAAATATCTTTGGCCATTGTGGCAGTATAACTGTACTGGGTGGGAACTATCAGAGGAAAGTTTATTTTTTAAAATTTGAACCATCAGATGCCTTGATTTAAAAAACTAGAGCCTCCAGTTACTTAGGGACCTGCCTTTGCCACAATGTGTTTTAATTACTACTATGAAGCTTCTGGCTATTGTGGATTTGTGGATATTTTAAATTATATAAACGATAAGATGTCTCAAGTAAAAAAGATGGAAATCTCCAGAAAAGTCTAAATATGCAACAATTATTACTCTTTCACTAACAGCCTTTACCAATAAAAATAAGACATTTAAATGCATGAACATGATCTAAATGCCATATCACTATAAATTACTTCCTGTGTTCTCAGGCTTAAAGATTATTTAAGATCCTGCTAAGAAATTAAAGCCACATGACATTCTGAAATAAAAGTGTGCAGATGCTTGGGGTTATGGTCACCAAAGCATA